AAAATCGGCAATCTCTAGAACAGACTTGTTCTTCACAATTTAAACCCTGCCAGGCCAGCAGGCTTGGTTTTCCTAACTGGCTAAATCTGCAACCTGGAGTCTGATCCCGGGCTTTGTGGGACCGGGTGGCCTCCGTGGCTCACACACAATTTGCTCTTTTAGCATTAAAGATATGGAAGATGGTGCCCGCCTCTCTCCCGTCCCCCACCTTGGATTCACGACTACAGTAGACGCTCAGAAGTCAGCGTTTCATCTGAGACATCTGATTTGTTAGGCACTCTTCTTTTGAGAGCATAGCCAAACACTAATAGAAATACCGCTAAGAGAATGGTGGGGGCTATTCAAGTGGTCAGGACTGTAGAGAGATTTCAGAGTCCTGGGTGACCAGTTTATTAGAAAATTACTCTAGGGGTACCTGGGTGGCTCAGTCATTAAGTGTCTGCCTTTGGCTGAGGTCATGATCCCAGGGTCCTGGGATCGAGCCCCATATCGGGCTCCCTGCTCCGCGGGGAGCCTGCTTCTCCCTCTCCCACTCCCCTTGCTTGTGTTCCCTCTCTCGCTCTCTCTCCCTGTCAAATAAATTAAAAAAAAAAAAAAATCTAAAAAAAAAAAGAAAATTACTCTAGAAGGGATTAGAGAATGTCTTAAGCTGCTTACAATATTTTTAGGAACTAAGGTGAGAGATGCTATTTGTGTGCAGAATAATCCCATAAAGGAATGACTTTTTTTTCTTTTTTTTTAAACCTCACATTTATGTCCTGACATCCAGCTGCTCTTACCCATCTGGCAACTTAAAGATTTCCTTTTAGTTTCTTTGATACAGAAATTACCTACCATTAGGTCCGCCACTGGGCCTGTTTAATTGGTATTAAAAGAAAGCACGTCCTTTGCCTGATCTGCTGTGGTTTCTGACGGAAGCTGTGAGTGACCAGCCAATCTCTGCCCCTGGAGTTGCTGAGAGAATGCAATTACCTTTCTATGTCCTCCAGAGGCTTTAGGGACTCAATTTATGAAAAGGATAACTAGCTCGTTGCTATTTCATGTGTGAAATTTTAATGAATTACTGGCAGTCTAATGGTTTTCTTTCTTTTTTTTTTTTTGGAAAAAAACAAAAAACCAAAAAGCCTTTTTTAGAATTTTTAACTAATAGCCCTAACGAGTATTTTTGATTAATCTGTCATTCTTATTTATTGCAATTGATGGATTTTTACTTTTTTGTAGAAACGCTATTTATGCCCTCGGGAGGTTTTCATTTTATAATTAAAATGCTCTGCAAAGCATGTAGGTGTGCTCCAAGTGAATGGTCCTGTGTACACACAAATCTTTTTAGTCCTTAAAGGTAATTACATTTGACAATAGGAAATGCCAGAATGCTTATTTAAAGAAGGGAAAGGTTTCTAGTGGGAGTGGGGGGAGCTTTCATTGTAGGAAATCAGATGCTTTACAGTATTATAAGCTCTTTCCCTATAGACAGCAGGTATAAAGCCTCAGGGCATGAACTAAGAAATTTGCTTTTAATGCAAAAAGGGGCATAAAAATAAAAATAGATGCGCCTCTTCATTTGGTGGTCCTTTTCCGATCCCCACCACAAGATTTTAGGACTTTTTTTTTTTTTTTTCCCTCCAGGGTTTGTTTGCAGCTGTCTGCCTTGTTACAATCAGTTGTTCCGTAATCGCCTCATGGGGGCTTCTCTGGAGACTCAGTCCACTGCAGTGCAGGGAATATTCTCGATTAACATGGTGAGATTGCCATGGAGACAGATTGCCGAGTGTCAGGTCTCTCATAGCGTTGGGAATTTACAATCCCCAGGCGTGTTTGTGAGCTGGACAGTGTAGTTAGCAGGGACGCTTCTGGAAGTCATTTCCTCGGTCCTTTGAAGGGTAGCAGTGTTTGGGAAAACCAGCCCTCGGTTCCTCTCTGGGCAGGAGCTGTGCTCTCCCACAGCAGCCTGCTGCTTTTGTTCCTGCTTGTTGCTGCTTTGTTCTCCTCGGCCTGAACGGTTGCTGTAAAAAATAATCCTGACTGCCTGACCTTTGGAATATAAACTGGGAAGAGCTCATTGTTTAGATGCAGCTTTGTAGGGGACATGTTGATGCTTTGATTCGTAGAATTGTGTAAGAGAAACCAGAAAGTCTGCTGTAGGTTTCGAATATTGTTTTAGTAATAATAAAAATAAAGCTGAAAGGGACTTGGCGTAGCTACATTGTGTTTTATTTTTGGAACTGAGCTACAACCACAAAGGTATTGTGAAGACCTCGGGAACAATAATCTCAGAATAAGTAAAAATATCTGCAAAGCCTGAAGAGTTGACAATTTGTTAGGGAGAGGATGGGGTAAGAGATGGACCTTAAACAATAATACCTTTTGTGTTTTTCTTTTTTTTTTTACATATACTATGTTAATTAAATCTTTAAAACAATGCTGTGTTAAAGGCATTATTTAATTTTTTCCTTTACGAAAAAGCAAACCAAGAGGTGAAGCAGGAGATGGGCTTGTGATTAATTAGTCAGTGAAAGGGTGTGGTGTGGCTCAGCGTCCTGCCACAGCACTGGAGATGTTACGCAGTTTGTTGATTACTCTCAGGGTGCCTTGTAGCAGCGTTGGCTGGCTTGATGGACCGCACTCTTCTTGGACAACTCTGGTACTCAGTGATGCTGTGATTCCTCAGTCGGACAAGAGGGCAGATTTAGGGTCCCTTGCTGCTGGGTTATAGGGGTTTATCCCTGGGCTCCTTGGCTCAATACAGCCTCGTGGTGGCACTGACTCTCAGCCATGTGGAACCAAAAAACACAGGGACTGCGTCTCTTCCAACTGTGTTTGTATCTCACCTCTGTACTTGGGACCAGTTGGCATAGGATAATAGGACTATGTTCTGCCTGGTTTCTGGTCTAGTACTGTTAAGAATTTCACCATCATGCTTAAGCTGAAAGATTAAATTCGTGCTGCACTGGATTGCCCTGTTCACAAAGTTCAGAAGGTAGAGCTGAAAAATTAGAGATATGGTCATAACCCAAATAGGGGAAAGATTTACAAAAATGTTCGTGGTCAATTTCTCTGGAGAAGGAACAGAATTGGGAGGTAGGGGTGAAGGAGGGCTTTATAGTTTTTGTGTATGTAATCTGTGGTTAGAAAAAGATAGATATATATATTTAAGCAAAAAAAAAAATCCTTGGGAACTAGAAGATGGTACTGCTTTTATAGCCTGTGGATTTAGCAGGCTGTACAGAATATAGATCCTTTAATTGGATGAAATCCAGTCTGCACACTAAGGTCGTTGATGGATGTTTTAAACTAGGAACTGGAACTGAATGAAATATTGATTTGGTTCAGGTTCAGTTCAAAGGCTACTCTGATATTCTGGTTCTGTTTCAGGTCAATAATTTTAGAAAAAGGCGTAGGTACAGTACGGTCTAGTTGAGCTTCAGATGAAAAAAGGGTTGACTCAGTCTTATATTCAGCAAAGGAATACTTTATTCCAGGTTCTGCTTCAAATGGAACTGTGATACAAAAACAAAATCACTGGATGTTAATTTTATGTGACAGGGAGGCCTTCCTACCATTTTGTAATTATCAGGTGAGATAATGAAATCTTAAACAGCAAAGCTAACCCATCACAGAGTGTTTTGTTTATATTGAGATAAACGTGTACAATGTTCAGGTGGCTTCCTTGCGGCATGATGCATACTGCTAATGAAGCCACAGATGAGGGGATCCAGTTTTTTGGTTTTTTTGGTGTGTGTGTGTGGGTGGTTTTTTTTTTTTTTTTTTTTCCCTGAGCAGTCTTCTGTGGTGTGGTAGACTTTATACTTTGCTCAACACTCACCTCATAAACTGAGCTTCCAATTGTGTATTTGTAGACTTAAGGTTTTTTTTTTTTTTTTTTTTTTGAGAGATTTCCTTTGTCTTAGGGCAGTTTTCCTGGGGACTTTCCATAAAATGCATTTTATGGGCTGAGAACTGGGTGAGGCTTGGAACATTGCAGATGCTCACTGATTGTAGCAAACGGAGTATGAAGTTGATGGTAAACATTGTGATGGAAAAGTGTATTTGGTTTTGGTTTGCTTTCCAAAAAGATGTTTGAGAGACTCAGTTGGGCCACATGGTTTTCATAGACTCCTTTTTATGCAGTCTGTCTTTACAACGTGATTTTCTTGTTGGGGCTGGCCACTGACCAGCTTGAGAACTTCACTTTTCCCCCTCAATTTGAATAGTCAAGTTTGTTAATGCTTCCTTCAAAGGCCTGGACAAACACTGCTCTGCAGATCTAGAAGTGGTATGTTTGCTAGTCTGCAAACTGAGAAGTGGTATGCAGGGTCTCTGCACGATATTCTGGATTGGCTGCTTTTTCTTTCGTGGGTTTACTTGACATCATAAGAAATTATTCCATTTGAACTCTCCAGATGAGCCAATTAATTCTGACCTCCTAGGGGAGAGGATGGTAGTAGAATGTGTGTTTGTGCTATGTCAGTCAGAGCTCCTGGTTCCAGGGCTACCCTGGTTTTCTCCTTCAGTTTTGGAAACTCAGATTCAGAGGATTATGGCCCTGCAGTGTTCTCTTCAGTAGTGGTGAATTTCCTTGATTTGGCTGTTTCTCCTAATGAAATTGTGACCTAATTAATTGGTAATTAAGGTGCCTCAGAGGTCTGTTTCCCTGTGAATCAACCACTAGATAGAATGTGATTCTAGTAAAACCCCAGAATATTCCCCCAACAAAGGAAAGTGTATGCAAGCTGTATTAGTTAAGAGTGGTTGGTGGTGCCAGTGTACTTAAGTGATGCATCACGAGACAGGAAGTATTATATAGCCTTCTTCTTCCTTAGACTAGTTTTGGTCAGTTAACTACAACCTTTCTTGTCAAATAGAACACAAGCTCCAACTCTCTACAGTAACTCTTTATTGTGTCCTCTGTGTCTTTTCATGGGAGTGGCTATTTTTGGAACTCTTCCTGTAGAGTTGCATGCTGAATTTCTTCAATCCCCAAATCCTCTTGTGCTTTGCAGGAGAAGCTGTGCCTGAGGATGAACAGATCAGTGCTAAGGACCAGAAGACCCTGGAGCCCTGTGATAACACCCCCATCATAGACAATATTGCTCCTGTTGTTGCTGGCATCTCTGCAGAGGAGAAGGAGAAGTATGATGAGGAGATCTCCAGTCTCTACAGACAGCTGGATGATAAGGTCTGTAGCCAGAGATTATAGTCTTCACTCCGGCACCTAGACTAAAGGTGGCAGGTCCTAGAGCTATTGGCCAGAAGCAGCTTCAAGCCCCATGGGACTGATGCAGGGCTGCAGTCTGATGTTTATGTCTGTCTTCCTAATATCTACCCGAGGTCTTGATTGGGCAGACTCAGGGAACTTGAATCTTGTGGAATGGAAACTTCCATGGAAGTTTGATTGGAAGACTGGAGAGTTGGTCTAGATAGAGAGATAGTCTTCACTTCTGGACATGGGACCGGGGCTAATCACTGCATGAGAGTGGGGGTGGCGTGAGTGTGCATGATCTTTGTGTAATTGTCCCTTCTATTTTTCTCTGGGCATGCACCTCACCTCTTGAAAACTTCAACAGTAGTGCCAGCTCTAGGGGCAGGGTGGTGTCTCCTAAAGCTGAATGTGTTCTTTCATCATGTAGCTCTCAGGCCCTGGGATGAGGAACCAATGGTAGTGGCGTGTGGTCTGACAGCTTTTCCTTTATTGGTAAATCTGTTTTCAGGGGCATATTCTTGAATGAAGTAGTTTGGACATGCTGTCCGGTTTGTCCAATTTTATGGCAAACTTTCGGGACTCAAATAGTCATGTAAATGCACAAGTTGGACCAGAGGAAAAGAGACTGTGGAGAACAGTGTACATCGTTCATCCCCAGTGAAGGTCGGGTTAGGAATCCCAGAGGCATAGGAAATTAAACTGATGTCTCACGTGATCTTGGCGTATTGCCCTTGGAATATTCTAAATCCTTTCAGTTCATTCCATCAAGGTTGCTGATATTTTTAGTCTGATTTAATCTTTTCTGCAGTGGTTTGGCTCAGAGTGCTTGGGGACACCTCTGGTTTGGCTGAAACAGCTTTGTTATGTTAACATTGTCATTAATCTTATAGGCCTGTCTATTCTGAGCGAAGCTCAGTCTGCATCACCTTTACAAGCAAAATGTGAAGCTAGTTCTGCTTATCTGTGACTCTGGGAATTCACATTGTAACCACAGTGGGTAAACTGGGGGCACGCTACCCTTCTGGTAACCTATTTAATGAGATATTCACACCCGTGAGAGCTGGGTTAATTGCCCTTTAGGCACTTGACATACTGTTATCCTTCCATTTCTAACCAGATATGATTATGCAAAACCTCAAAGTAAGAGAAAAAGAAGATCAGTAGTAAGTTAACAGTGTATACAAGTTCTTGATTTCTCCAAAGAAATGCTATTGTTTAAACATACTGCAATTTTCTTTTTCATTTTAAAATTGAGGGGTTCACTTTAGTAATCCCCAAAGAATTTTGGATGAGGGATGATAACCTGATTCTATACCTTGCTTTCTATAAATAGACTCCTGCCATGGTTGGAATTGGGGATCATTTACTTTGGTAGCATAAGGAGCTTTCACTGATCCGAGGGAAATGTTAGGGTCTTGAATGCAGCTTCTGAGATATAGCGATGAGGACTGAGTCATGAGAGGGGAAAATGCCGTGCCTTGGGGGTATTCAGTTGGTAGTTAGCAGAGCTGATCCTAGAGTCTCCGCCTCCTGATGACAAGCCTAGGACACTTCCTGTTATATCATTTTCCTACAGCACATGCTTTGAAGACCCTCTAAAGCACACATTTCGAGGTTAGCATTTGTGGTCTATCACGGGGTTGCTGAGATCTGAGAGAGTACTGAGCCCACAAGCCTTAGCCAGAGAGGGCACCAAAGCTGGTGGTCTGACCTTAGAGACTCTACCCATGGACTGCCTGATTATGTCTTATCAGCTGTCATTCTTATTTGTCCTCCTCGTAAAGGTTTCAGAAGGTATTTCATGCTTCTGTTGAGATAGGTAGTTTGATACCTTTGAGAAAACATGAGTTGGGACAGGGCATCTTCATAGATTATTGAGTGGTGGAGCTGAAAGTAGGTCCAGATGAGAAGCTAGCCCAGTTACGTGGGGGTTACGTGACTTGCCCAAGTTTGTATCACCTGTAGGTGGCTGAGGGGGAATGAGGTTGTGTATCTTCTGACTCCCAGTGCTGTGGTATTAGCCCTTTAAATGAGGAACGTGTCAATCCTAATGAATCTAATGAGAACGTGGTGGGAGAAAGACTACACGATCTCCTCCCAGCTGCCCCCTCTGCCCCTCTGTCCTGTCCCAAGGGGTCTAAGGACAGGTACTATCCCAGGCAGTACTGTGTGATGGAAAAACATACACTTTAGAGTCAGACCTGTGTCTTAAATAATGCTGAGGCTTGGACGGATGAATGGCCTACCCTGCTGAAGATGTTTTTCTCATCTGCAGCATGGGGCTCATACCTGTGCCCTCAAAAAGTTGCAGGGGGGATTACAAGTTTCTAGTGTGTAGCAATTGCTCAATAAATAGGAGTTTCTTTCTCTTCTGGGTTCTGTTTACTTAAGAGAGAACACCATCCTATGTGGTATGGGGGCGGTGCAGAGGTGGTTGCAAGCAGGGTTATAAGAAGAGCAAGTTGGTGTTGGCACTGTTTCTTTTATTTCTCATCTCCAATACTAGTGTTCTATTGGAAATGTGTGAGAGGAATTAAGTGTAAGTAGAAATATGTCGAACCGTATTTCACTAATTACTATTGCAACAAAAACATTTTTTATAATTAAAGGTGGCCAGTGACCAACTGACAGCTCACCATTTCACATATAAGAAAATTCAAGAATAAGAATATTTTCTGAAAAGTGCTTTGAGATCTGTTATATATGGACTAGGTCTCAAGAGTCAGCATCAGAGTGAGCATGTTCTAAGAAATGCACTTGAATGTATAGATAGAGACTGCACAGCACATTTTATTCTGGAAGTTTTGAAAAAAATTTAAAGATTATGATAGACTCTCCTAATTCCTAGGAGAAGTTGCCTTAACAAAGGGTAAGTGCAGTCTTGGAGGGGTCTCTGGTACAAGTGATTCATGTTCTTACAATGTAATCTTTGTTTCCTCACATCCTTCCCAGATGGGCTGGTGGCCCTTGGTTTCTTGCTGTACCTCAAAAATCTTTGCACCTGGCTTTTCACCTGTCAGAGAGGAAACCTGCACTTTCAGGCTTTGAAGTGAACACAGTCTAAGAACAAAGGGCTGGCTTCACCATTCTGCTTCTCTCCTGATTTATATCACTGGTAGCCCTTGCTTATGTATCCCAGGGGAAGGGATGGTAGCTCCCTGATGTTAAACTCCTTGAGTCTTTTATGTTAAGTTGTTTAATATTTATATGCCGAGGAACATAAACACAAAATTGTTCCTGGTAACTGACATTCTAAGTTTATAAAGTACAAGAGGAAATAGTCTCCTAGTTGTGCAAGTACCATTTTTTGGCAGCTTCACTCTGGTGTAATTTCCCTAATTCTCCCGCCAGAAATCGGATTTGGGGAGGAAAGTCATGAGCATTTTATTGAACCATTAAAGAAACATGGGTGTAAAAAGTTCAGTAGAAACAGGGCTTCTCCAACAGAGAGATAAAGCCAAAAGATGTTCTACACAAGGGAAAATGATCTGTAGATCCTGTAATCCTGATTTTGGGATTTTCTTGCTTCACGGAAAGCATTCACTGTGACACTGAGTCGGTCCGATTTAAATATACGCATAGACATGACCAAATAGGTTAGGGAATATCCATCCCATGGACAACTGGGGTTCTGCGACCCAGGAGACCCTTGAGTCCACCCCTGTAACCTCACCTCTGGAAAAGCCAAAAGGTGCGGTGCAGAATTTTTCTGGGCTGCTGTGAGAACACCTGGGCGGCACAGAGAAGGACCCCAAGTACTGAATCTGACTCTGCTTGGGTTTAGAGCCTAGAGGTGTTATCAAATAGGATTTTCTCCTGTTTTTAAAGGCGGGTACACGTGAAGCCAAGTTGTTCTTCGCTGGCCAGGCTTCACATTTGCGTTTGAATTCATGAAAATCTTTGTAGGGAAGGCCAAGCCCCCCGTGGTGAAATGTTGTCTGCCTGCTGCTTTGCCCAGGCTGGGTGGACGGCACGCCCCGGGAGAGGCACACGTCTTAGCACCGGCCCGGGAGGCGGGGGAGGCGGGGGAGGCGGGCGCCCTGGCTTTTGTGGCAGCAACACCTAGTGGCAGGAAATGAGAGTGAGGGAAGCAAATTGCCTTTGGGGAGATCATTTCCCACTTTAATGATAGGCCAGAAAGTAAGCATTACTTTCCCCCACTTCCTAGAGTTTTATTTGTTTTGTTTTTTTAGACTGGCAAGAAAATTAACTTCTTTTTAATTTTTTTTAAAGATTTTTTTATTTATTCATTTGACAGAGAGAGACACAGCAAGAGAGGGAACACAAGCAGGGGGAGTGGGAGAGGGAGAAGCAGGCTTCCTGCGGAGCAAGGGAGCCCGATGCAGGGTTCGATCCCAGGACCTGAGCCAAAGGCAGATGTTTAACAACTGAGCCACCCAGGTGCCCAAGAAAATTAACTTCTAATCAAGAGGGAGATCTGCTCATGCCGAAGATTAATTCTCTAGTGAATGTTTTCCCATCTCTCTAAGTAAGAGATTTGAGGTGGAAATAACGGATCGCTCCTACTGATCTCATGGCAGCATTCCTGGTCATTGATGTGTTTGACGAGATTTGGAATATGAATATATTATAGTGCAGATGGTAGAAATTCACTGCCTTATTTTTTGTTAGCATCTTTGAATTGGGAGGGATAGCTCCAAAGTCCCTTTTGATTCCCAAACCCTAGATCTCTGATTTCTAGATGAACAGGATTTGAGTTGAATGTGTAGGATATTATATATCCCAGAATACCCAGATGTTTCACCTGCTGAGAAAGGTGGGCACAGAGGTATTTTAACCAAATCAAGATCCCAGAGCCAATCTCTCAACTATGGGGAAGCACCCCACCATTCCCTTCATCTTATTAGCAAGCTTATGGCTGAGACCCTGGTATCTGAGTGTCGTTGGAAAACCAGGATATCAAAAATGACATAACTAACCCAAAAACATTAAACATGATGTTTTGTTTCAGGATGATGAAATTAACCAGCAGAGCCAGCTGGCTGAAAAGCTAAAGCAACAGATGTTGGATCAGGACGAGGTAAAGAATGCAATAATTTCTTTTTATGAAGTTCTCTTATTACTCTTTGTTTCTGATGTTTGTTCCAGAAATTTAATTTGCAAAGAATTTTTTCAAAAATCATTGAATCATGTGGACATTTCTTGGTAGATTTCCTTTCAGTGCCTGTTAAAAGCTGATTTTGGAAAATGTCTGACTTCGTAGAGTTCTGAGGTTTTTGAGAGTGAGTAGCTGGTTGCTACACTTAGTCTTTGAAGAGCAGAGATAAAGGAGTTTGGTGGTTGGGCAAGGGTGATTCTAATTCCTCATACCCAGTGCCCAGCACTCCTGTTGCTTGCTGTTTTAGTTTTTTTCAGCTTTGAAATCAGCTGGCTCAGGTCTTTGATGTACACTGTGTTCCCGTGTTCTCTTGTAGGAAGTAAAAAACCAAAAAAAGCCCCACAAAAAACAAAAGTAGAGATGGAGGGGAGGGGCAAGCAAAGAGGAAAGGTGTCTAAAGTGCTTAACTAGTATGTGTTTGATATAGTAAAAAGGCGGCAAATTGTTTTCAGTCTTTCCCTGGACAGCATTCAGTTCTCCAGTGAATGTCTTTATTGTGGTGTGTTTTGCTAAGTGTTTTACAAACAGGCACCTAAGCAAAGGATAGATAGCCAATCTGTCAAACATAGATGATTAGTGCTTCTCTTGCTGAGGACCATCAAAGTATTTTTTCTCTTTTGTGCTTTAGGGTGCTTTCTGCTTTGTTGCTAAAAAGCTATGGATTGGATCACCTGATAGAATTCCAGCAGGTGGCTTGGGTTCATGACCTCAGTCCCAGCCTTCCCATGGACCTAATTCTCTCTATAGCCATGCCTTTCTTTTCTCCTTCTTTTTCTTTTTTTCCCTTCATTGCTCCAGGGCAATGATTATGCCCCCTGTCCAAACACTTTCCCTTGGCAGGGAGATCATCTGTGCCTTTGCAGTCAGATCATTTAAAATTGATTTTTCTCTTAGCTTTGGTTGGGTCTTCCATCTGCTTAGTGTTTCCTGCCTTCTTTCTCCCATTCTATTTCTTTGCATCTCTAACTTGGTACAACTGCCTTATGATAAACTTACTTTGTGTAACATTTAAAATGCAATATTTTTTTTCAATACTGCCAAGGCGGTATCTGTTCTATGTAGGAAAATCAGAAAATACAGTAGGCACAAAGATAATGAACACACCCACAAGCCTACTCATTCACTTTTAACTAATGTTAATGTTTGGGATATATCTTTCTATACATTCACGATGAATATTAAGAAAAACTGACAATTGGGCGCCTGGGTGGCTCAGTTGGTTAAGCGACTGCCTTCAGCTCAGGTCATGATCCTGGAGTCCCGGGATCGAGTCCCGCATCGGGCTCCCTGCTCAGCAGGGGGTCTGCTTCTCCCTCTGACCCTCTTCCCTCTCGTGCTCTCTATCTCTCATTCTCTCTCAAATAAATAAATAAAATCTTTAAAAAAAAAAAGAAAAACTGACAATTGTCCTTTTTCGCTGTTTTGGTTGACTCTGAAAGTGACCTGTTTACCATGTGGAATAAGGTAATGTTAACAAGCCATGCAAGTATTATCGTCCTCAGAGATGACTCCCTTCATTCTTTGTTCAGCATTTGGAAGAGCCAGCAGCTACTGACTGTAGGGATTTTTGATGTGTAATCAATTCTTTGAGTTCAGCCTATGCAGCTTTATACTAAAAAATAAATAAAAAAACCTGAAAGAAAAATAAACAGATTTTTGAAGGCCCAATGCTATTTTTTTTTTTATTATCTAGATATACAGTAGGATTTCTAGTCATCCTGAGCATTCTATCTGATTTTTTTTGAGAGTGAGTGCATGAGTGAGGGCGGGAGAGGGCAGAGGGAGGGAGAGGATCTCAGGCAGGCTCCACGCTCAGTGTGGGTCCCGACAGGGCTCACTATCATGACCCTGAGCCAAAATCAAGAGTCGACGCCTCACCGACAGAGCCGCCCAGGCACCCCCCGCCCCGCCCAATCTCTTTTCAAAATGACTTTATTTTGGATACAGCACAGCACAGAAACCCTTGAACATTACATTTACCAGTTCCATACCATCTCATTTCCCCAGCTTCTGGCTTCCACGAGAAGAGACTATGAGAAGATCCAGGAAGAGCTGACACGTCTCCAGATTGAGAATGAAGCAGCCAAGGATGAAGTGAAGGAAGTTCTCCAGGCCCTAGAAGAGCTGGCTGTCAATTATGACCAGAAGTCTCAGGAAGTGGAGGACAAGACCAGGGCCAATGAGCAGCTGACTGATGAGCTGGCCCAGAAAACGGTTGGAGCATATGCGTCTAGGGGGACGGGACTTTCGGCTGCCGCTCCTGTACTTCATGTTGATGTCTGTTGACAGACACTGTGTAGGAAGGCAGTTGGCAGAGTGGTTTTTCAGTGTTAGAGGTATTCTCTGAAATCTTCCAATAATTGAAGTACTTCATGTAGGTGACTTTTGTCTACTCATTCCGGAACTGAGGATTGTTTTATATCCAGGGGTTTTATAACGTTAGCAGGGATGCCTTGTGAATTGTCAAGAGAGTGCAGACTTTGGAGCCACCAAAAGCCTAGTTAACATGGTGACTTTACAACTGGGAGGCCTTAGTTGAGACCTTTAAACTTTGTGAGTATTCATTCCCTTATCTGTAACTTAATGGCATTAGTAACAGGCTCCTTTCAGTACCTGAGAATTAGAGACCATAGATATAAAGCACTTAGTGAAGGCCTGTGCATATGTTGCAATGCCAGTAAATACATCGCAGGTATTAGAGTACCAAGTGAGGGTGAGTGACCGACGGAAGGTATGGATTCCACTTCTTGTTTACACCCTCCTGGATAAACCCATCCCTTCCCCACAACTTCCTGTCCTAGCCGAGGACTGACGGTCCTGGTTGGTTTGTTGGCCTGTTTTAAGTCGGTGCTTCAGTCTGCCCATTTCCTAATTTTCGGATTCTCCTGGGGAAGGGTGCCGGTTGTGCACAGTGAGCTAGCAGCAGGTCCAGCGAGCATTCGGTGAGGTCGCTGGTGGTGGGATGTTTCCATTTTGTCCTTTTCTGCTTGGAAAATGGGTGGTGGGAAGCTGAGTGGCTGTAACCGGCTGCCCTTGGCACCTTGGCTCAGTGGCCTGGTGTCATGGGATTGTGCCCAGCCTGCTGTGTGGAAAACATCCAGTCCTCCTGGGCAAGGAGTAGCAGATGGTGCAGGAAAGCGCTAATCTGCTGACCATAGAGCTGATGGGAAATGCTCCTAACTCTGTATATGCAACTGCATGAAGGAAGGCTTTCTAAATGGCTTCCCAAGATGGGAACTATTGCTTCTGTGGGCTTTAAAAACTGAACGAAATAAGCAGTGGCAATGCCAAAACAAAACCAAAAAGAAGCAGGAAAACAAACCAGAAGTCACGTAGGAAAGGAGGAGACTTCGATTTTCTCTGCTTACTGTTTTCTGCAGGATTCTTTAATGAGTCCTTCATATTAGTTGTATCTCAAAACAATGAAGCATTTTCCATAATACAGTTCTTATTTTCTGCCAAGCCCAAGGATTACTAAACTGGTTTAGAGTACTATTTTTAGTCAGATCATGAAAAAAATGCTCTAGTATAATAGCCAAGTATGGCAGATTTGCATAAGTGTCTTTGCATTAAGCTCCATAGCTCTGTAATTTAGCGAAATTATTTTCTTTGTTGGCCGAGTTAGTACCAAGACACCAAAACACGGTTATTCTGGTGATGTGGAGAGTTCGTTAAGTTAGTTAGTTCTAAATATCTACATACATGAGGGATGGAAAAGAGATGGGTTGTTGATGTTTGGCAGTAAAATGGAGCTACTGCTCTACATTAAGATGAAGACTCGGCCAGTTTTGAGAAGAGGTGAAGAGTGTTCAATTCGGCTTCATTGGGAAGATTCAAAAACTTTTTAGAAGTTGTTTTCTAAACTCAAGAATGTCTCTCTGAGCCTTTCTGACCTGTCTGTTATGAAATCAGATGGGAATTTCTGGAAATGGTCCAGGGAGCAGGTTTGTTTGGATGTGAGGTGGGGATGCTTGCAGGTGTGTTTGGACCCTGGGGTCCAAATGAGGAGAATGAGGACTGAAACAGAACATCTCGTGGGTAAGAAGACACAATCACACCTTATCAACCTGAGGGCTCCTTTTGGACTCTATTTTTAATAACATTTCACTGACCTGCAAATTGTCATGTGATATGTAGATATAACATATCAGACCAGGTCAGATTCTCCTTTTTATCAAAGAAGGCGGTGCTATACTATAGTTTGACTTAATAGGACTCTTTTGTTGAAATTGCATGAAATGGTAAAAGAACTCCATCCTACGTTATGTTGTTATTCTTTGCAATGCAGTGGGTATGAACTGATGGGCAGCTCTTTTAATTTGCTGTTAAAATGTGTTTTTCAGACGACATTGACAACCACACAGAGGGAGCTGAGCCAGCTACAAGAGCTTAGCAACCACCAGAAAAAGAGGGCTACTGAGATCCTGAATTTGCTGTTGAAGGATCTGGGGGAGATAGGTGGAATTATCGGCACCAATGATGTGAAGACTGTAAGCCAGCCCCTCTCTTCTCCTCTCTACCTGCTCCTATAATGGTGTGATCCTAAGCAAGCAGGGTCTGTGTTTTATTCTCCCAAGTATCCAGGGCTCAGCGTAGTGCTTTGCACCTGCCACATGCTTGGTAATATTGGAATGAACAAACCAAGGGCTGATTGAATGACCTAAGTGAATGATTGGCTGGGTACCGCGGAGGAGAAAAAAATTACCTTTCATATATAGGAAATGTCTTCAAATTTTGGTAGGCCTTATACACGTCGGGTTATTTCTCAAACTTATATGCTAATGTCACAGGAGTTTGGAATTGGATAGGTTAAGCAACACTTCCAGTCTCAGAACTGTGTTTCTCCTTTTCTGTGAAAACTCAACAGAATGAAATTCCCTAGCCAATCAGTATGAATTAGAAAAGCTTTCAGCTGAAAGTAATAGGATTCTAACTGTGGCTTAAAAAATAAATCCACATTTAATTATTCACAATATGAGAATTTTGTGCAGAATTTGTTATTCAGGTTGTGATCTGTATCACCTGGGAATTTGTTGAACTATAGACTCTTGGGCCACTGCAGACCTACTGAAATTAGAATCTGCATTTTAACAAGATTGCCCAGGTCAGTCTAATCTTATTCAAGTTTCGGAAGCAAATTTTGATCCAGTGTCTCAACGATGTCAAGGATTCAGGCCTTTTCTTTGTTTCCTTTCTGCTTTCGTTAGCTTGTCACCTTTTGACATCTGTAGACATTTGTGTCATCATATAGCAAGACAGCTGCTATAGCACCAACCATCTTTTCTTCACACAACCACATCCAAGGCAGGATGGGCTGAAGGGGCAGCCAGCTCTCATCAGGAGGGAGCTATATTCCATAAGTCCCTAGTAGATGTCCCCTTATACCTTATTAGCCAGCATTGGGTCACATGGTCACCCCAAATTACAAGAGAAAATGAGAAAGCAAAGAAAATAGTACTGCCATCATTGGCTTCAACCAACTGTGATTCATCCCCTAGAGTTGTGCACATTGGTACCACTGACAGCAAGGAATTAAGGGAGGTGGGGAGAAAGGGGGTGGTATGAAATTGCCCGTGAGCCAGGAACAGAGGGACAGGAGAGCGCACAGAATGTTATCAGCCAAGGACAATTATCAGCCGCAGTATGGAGAGAGAGATCTAAGATGGAGATATTTTTAAAAATAGCTTTATAAGGGTATAGTCTGAAAAGTTTTGATATATTATACTCTCATAAAACCATTACCACAGTAAGATAATGAACATATCCATCACCCTCAACGGTGTGTGGGACTGTTTCTGGTCTCTAGTCTATTTCATTGATCTAATTGTTATGCTAAAACCACCCAGTTTTGATTCCTGTAGCTTTGTAAAGATAACACCACCCCAGGTACGGAGTAGCCACTGATACATGGGGTGGATTTTGGCAAGCCAAGGAATGGTATTATGCTCAACTGCCACTTCCGGAGCCCCTGAAATCAAATTCTTTGAGGTTAGCCTTTTAAAAGGCTGAGTTCTACATCAGTCTGCTTTGTGGGAACACTCAGGTTTTGAGCTGGCATTGTTAAATACTAGAAAACGCCCCCCCAATTCCTTCTGTTTATAGACACTTCTGGGAAACATAGAAATCCCCTCTTTGATGACATCACAGATCTAGGCTTAGAGTATACGACCTCTTGTAAACCTAATCATTCTTTCATAGGACCTCTATTGTAACTGAATATTTCATGAATCTTTGCGAAAGAATCTAATTTTAGCACAGAATTCTCAGATACTATAAGATTAACCCTATTCAGCTCCAGTTTGGTGGCTTTATGTTTGGGGATTTAATTTTTAGAAGCATGCATTGGTGTTGAGTTTCTGAGATTTGGGTGATTAAGTGGCCCATGCAATATGAAGGTGGAGCTGATTTATGAGAAGTTGGTGCCTGCTGCTGATAACGATAAAGGAAGATATTTTTATGCTACGTTCTAAAATAGAGTTGATGAGAAATGCTAATGAAATCAAGGAGTGTCTGGGTGCTTCGGCATTAAAAAGTCTTTACCTTTGGGAATCTGAAGTATGATTGAGATTATTTTTAAGTACTTAGCTGGATGTTTTCAAGATATTTTTGGATTCCAGACATTGGATGCCTTAGTTAATTTCATTGATAACTAGTTATTTTCATTGATAATTCTCACTCATAGAGCATCATATTCTTAATCACTCTGAGTTTTTTTTCTTTATAATTATGATTTAATCATTAGGGGAATGAGAGCTAAAGGGTGGGAGCTGTGTGACTTTGGGCAATTCACTATACTTCTCAGGCTTCATTTTCCTGATTTGTGCAATGACAAGATGGGCCCTCATTATCTTGCAGGTTGTCAGCTCAGAAATTGCATGAGTTATACATATATTTCTTAGATCTACATTGTGGCTATACAGTATTGGATATGAGTACTCAATTGATAGAATTCTTTTATCGAAGAAAATGATCAGATCAGGGAGACCTTTGTCAGTGATCTTGTTTTTCTTCCTAAAACCCTATTCAGTTCCCACACGGTGCCTCCTGGTCGTACCCTGGGATGAGGGGAAAAAGTACTCTCATTTCCAGAATATAACAGGCCCAGACAGCAGGGAAACAGAAGAACCCATATTTCTCCAGCTCTGTCATGTCTTGAAATATTTTCAGAGCCCAGGCAATACTTTGTTTAGTCTACAAAACAAGATGAGACCACCCAATGATGAGACGAGCCTAGAGGTCACTTTCTCTGGATTTATTAGTGAGCTTTCTCTTCTTGTCGTTTGCCTATGTCACCAGGCTTTCTTTATTTTTATTTTTTTAAAGATTTTATTTATTTGAGAGAGAGAGAGAGAAAGCACGAGCAGGAGGGAAGGGTAGAGGGAGAAGCAGGCTCCCCGCGGAGCAGGGAGCCCAATGCGGGGCTTGATTCCAGGACCCCGGGATCATGACCTGAGCCGAAGGCAGATGCTTAACTGACTGAGCCACCCGGGTGCCCCAACCAGGCTTTCTTTCTTTCTTTCTTTTTTTTTTAAAGATTTTATTTATTTATTTGAGAGAGAGAGAGAAACAGCATGAGAGGGGAGAGGATCAGAGGGAGAAGCAGGCTCCCTGCTGAGCCGGCAGCCCGATGAGGGACTCGATCCCAGGATGCCGGGATCATGACCTGAGCCGAAGGCAGTCGCTTAACCAACTGAGCCACCCGGGTGCCCCCAACCAGGCTTTCTTTAAAACAAAGTTTTCCAGAAGTCTAGCATAGAAAGTTGAGGTAGAGTAAATGAAATGGATTGGATTAGCTGTCAGATTTTCTTTCGACTTTGGGTCTGGGTGAGGTGGAGGTGAAGAATTTCAGGCAGAGGAGGGGCCCTGGGCCCCAGCAGCCTTTCACAGGGACCTTTCTGTGGCTGGGCCAGAGATGCAGATAAACTGCTCCAGATTCTGGGCCTGAAATCAACCCTCACCATCAACAGCTCCATTCCTATCAGCCTCCTCCATACAGCCTTGGATCTGTTGGGGCCAGGGTCTTGCCGCCAGGCAGGCTTGCTTCTCCAGTCCCCTCCTGCCTATCAAGCTCTTGGAAACAACCATATCATGACTTAGCTCTGTACCGTACTGACAAAGAAAATGGACATTTCTGAACATTAAGAAAAAAAAGACTTCTAGTCCCATTCTGACTTTTAGGTGTTGGAATGTGAACAATCACCTCACTTAAACCTTTTACTTGGCGTAGAAATGGCACCTTACACAATAACTCCATGCTCCTGAGCCCTGGGGTGGGTGGGGATGGGGGTGACTCCTCTGTAGACAGGGTAGGAGGGGCAGGCAGCATCTGCATTCCCATGTAAAAGCAGCCTCTTCTCCTGGATTAGTCAGCTCTACTGGATCACGCAGCTTTAGTGTATACTGTCAGACCCAGGGGAGAGTTAGAAATAACATGTTAATAACAAACTTGATTCTCCTTTTTGAAATAACATTTTACTGGGATTACTAAAAACTTTGAATTTACTTGAATGACTGAATACATGAACTCTTAAGTGGTTAAGACAAAACAAAACAAAAACAAACTCAGCAAAAAAAAACTTTTAGGGTAAAACTGTTTGGAGTAACTTTTTTGTTGTTGTTGCCCATCAGATTCAAAATCTCCTCTTAGATTTCCTAGGACACAAGTAAGCTCCAGAAGTTATGGTTCTGGTTTGGGGGGAAAAAACATCCAGCTTTCATTTTGGAGGAAGCTCATTATTGTGAGTACTATTCTACTCTTTCCCAGTGCACACGGGATCTGGGCATGGCGTACAAAGTGTCCTTGTCTAAAGACAGAGCTGGAGAGGAGGAAGTGTTTGTTCTCTTCCCCAAATGCCCTACTTGTTGGTCCTGCGGTGTTTTCCCACCAGGAGTGGGGGGAGGTTGTGAACTCCACATGAAAGACATGAACGTTCACTTACCTGTCTACAGAAGTTGGACAAATATATAGGACATACCAGGGGAGGCTAAAGAACAAGCTTCTTGTCTCTGTTCCACATTGGGCCAATCACAAAGGCAGAGGAACAAAACTGCACTGAAAGATTGGGGGCGTTCCTCATCCATTCTCTTCATGCTATTGGGTTGTAAGAAGGAATGCGATGAATGGTGTTGGTAGGCAACTCATTATTGGCAGGCAGAATTAGAAGTGGCTCAGCAAGAACCTCCATGAAAATAAAACTGTAGGTTTTCTTGCTGTTAACATAGGTTCTGCTTTGTGTTGATTTGACACTGTTGTCATTTAACACAAATACTGTTGTGGAATCCTAGGGGAAGGTTGACACCAAGTTACACGCACTCAGTGTGGTCTGGTATACTTCCTATCTGCTACCAATTTTCAGGGTTGATATACGATTCCATATTCCTAGCTCTTAAATGTTTACAGAAAAAAAAACCATCATATGATGAGTTAATGACAGCAATGATGACAAAAGTGGGCAGTTATAATGTACTGTGGAACATTAAAACCATATTTGGAATCGTTGTTCTAGACCCGACTGAAGCTTCTATTTGTGGGCTGGGTACTGGAACACGCTCTTGTGTTCTCCTGAGGTGCTAGGATGCCCTCTGGTGGTTAAACAAAATATGCACACAGTTACTCTGCTCCTCAAATTAATGGCCCTTTAAGAGCATGTTTGCATCTTTTTTTTTTTTTTTAAAGATTTTATTTATTTGACAGAGACAGCGAGAGAGGGAACACAAGCAGGGGGAGTGGGAGAGGGAGAAGCGGGCCTCCCCCCAAGGAGGGAGCCCGATGTGGGACTCGATCCCAGGACCCCGGGATCATGACCTGAGCCGAAGGCAGACGCTTAACGACTGAGCCACCCAGGCACCCGCATGTTTGCATCTTGAGAGCAAATGGGTTTCTATCCCAAGTATCTTGCTTCAGTTTTTGCTTCCGGTTGAGCTCTGAAACTCAGGTGCCAAATATGAGATCATGCAGAAATGCTGGCTTTCAGAATCTTTCTTTCTAAAGGTGGATTTATATTGTCAAACTCTCAGGTAATTTTATTTATTTAGTTGAGAGAGAGCAAGGGGGAGGGGCAGAGCAAGAGGGAGAAAGAGTCTCAAGGAGATTCTGCGTTGAGCATGGAGCCCAATGCGGGGCTGCATCCTATGATCCTGAGATCATCACCTGAGCTGAAACCAAGAGTCGGACGCTTAACCGACTGAGCCACTCAGGCGCCCCACTCAGATGATTTTAAATAATCTAAGCTAGATTCTTGTCTCCTTGGAAGGGGCAAGCACATAGAGACAGGGAAATATTGATTGGTGGTAAATGAAGTCATGTAGGAAAATCTTCATCTAAAAGGGCATTTGGTTGGGGCGCCTGAGTGGCTCAGTCGTTAAGCGTCTGCCTTCGGCTCAGGTCATGATCCCAGGGTCCTGGGATCGAGCCCCGCATCGGGCTCCCTACTCAGCGGGAAGCCTGCTTCTCCCTCTCCCACTCCCACTGCTTGTGTTCCCTCTCTCGTTGTGTCTCTGTCAGATAAATAAATAAAATCTTTTTAAAAAAAATTTAAAAGGGCATTTGGTAACGGCACATTCTTAATTCATTAGATTTTTGTTTGTTTGCTTAACTGAATACTATATAGAAAATCCTTTTAATTTCAACCCTTCCTTATAGAAGCATATTCAAGACATTGTACTACTCTCTCTGAATAGCAGACTATAGAGAACATAATTGAAATTTTGATTGGAGTTCTTATAGGGACTCAATCACCTTTAAAAACACTAGGCCTTCCAACTATTCTAGAAATGTAAGGTATTGGATGTGGAAAGGAGTACCTTTTCAGAGTTATCTCTTTTTTAATCTTCAGTGTCTTTTTCCTCTAATATCATGGCTTTCATCCTAAAAATTAATTGTAATGAAAAATCTGGCTGATTGAGGATTATATTTAGTAGAGGTTTTTTAATTCCATCTTACCCGAGGTTTCAGAAAACTTGGACTATATTTATATAGTGAATATATAGTAATACTTAGCTATCATTTTCAGCTTGTGGTCCTATAATTAGGGATTCCTGAGCAGAAATCCAAAGACATCTTGAGGCTCCGTGGACAGATTTTCGGGGCCCCGTGACTCTCTGGGAATTGTAAGCAATAGTTGAGTGTATTCCTTCCTGTGCTCAGTTGGCAGACGTGAATGGAGTCATTGAGGAGGAATTCACCATGGCCCGCCTGTACATCAGCAAGATGAAGTCGGAGGTCAAATCCCTGGTGAATCGTAGCAAGCAGCTCGAGAATGCCCAGATGGACTCCAACAGGAAGATGAGTGCCAGCGAGCGGGAACTGGCAGCGTGTCAGCTGCTCATCTCCCAGGTAGGTCACCCCTTTCCCCTCATTTCACTCCCCTGACCTCCTGAAATCTGCTTCCCCTGTGCTCTTCCTGGGTCTGATGGCGCCTGACAGCGATAGCTGATGGACTTCGCTTTATGTGAGACTTGTCCGTGGGCTCCCCAAGCAATGAGAGCCCAGGCTTATACTGAAGGCTAGATAGATTTTGTTGTGTGAATTACATGAATTACCTTCAGTCCCTTTTTAAGGGATGTGTCTACATGTTTCTATCTGTATATGGATTCATAAGTAGGTAGATAGAGATTATGATGAATGGATGAGATTGGGTGGAATCTAAAACTCCTTGAGCTAAGGCAACATTCCTTCATCTTTTAATCTCTACCACAGGTCCAATTTAATGTGTGAAAATAAACTATTTGCTGCTACTACTATTATTAATAATAGTGCGGGTATCATTTTTTAAAAAGATTTTATTTGAGAGAAAGGGAGCGCGCGTGTGTGCACACACACAAGTGGGGGAGGGGCAGAGGCAGAGGGAGAAGCAGACTCCCCGCGGAGCAGGGAGCCTGATGCGGGGCTCGATCCCAGGACCCCGAGATCGTGACCTGAGCTGAAGGCAGACGCTTAACGACTGAGACAACCAGGGGTCCCACTAGTAGCAGGTAGCATTTTTTTGAGTGTCTACACACTGCAGTAAGCACTTCACTTGCATTATCTCACTTGATCTTTTAAAAAATCCTGGTGGGCAGGTTTTATTATTATTCCTGTTTTGCAGAGGAGGAAAGTGAGACTCCGAGAGATTGAATACACGGTTCAAACTCCTACAACCAGTGAAAAGCAGATCTGGGACTCAAACCAAAGCATGGGTGAACACAAAGCCTTGAAGGGATTTTTGAGCCCCAGGGCACATTTCGTCTGCTCAGTGAGGTCCGGCTGCTCTTCTGCCCATTGAAATGGCGTTTTCATTTTAGTGGGGTGGTTTCGGAAAAAAGCAGCCTCGTTTCTGGTCTGCCACTGATATCTGAGCTTGGTGTTTGGGGCTCGAGACTTCTGGGAGTGTTGCCGTGAGGGCTGCTTCACAGCCTTAGACCAGGCATTAAAACAGCTGAAATCATTTGCAGGAAACTGATACCAGCAGGGAGTGGTGTATCAAATAATACTGAGAGACAAAAGCGTACGTCATTCTGGTATGCTTGTAAACATGGTAACATGTCATCATGGAACCAGCTCCAGCCACCTCGTCTCCCGCCATAGTAATCTAACAGATGCAAACTAACACATCAGGTTTCCATTTTATAACCAACGTAATAAGCAAAAACGCATCGGAAAGATTATTCAGTGTTGGTGTGGGATGGTGAAATTTATATACATTGCTGAGAAAAGTATAATTTGGTCAGTCCTTTTGGAAAGCACCTTGGGAATCAAAAACCACAAAAATGTAAGTACCTTGGTCCAGTAATTTCATTTATGGTATTTTTCATTGGTAATGAAAATGCAAAAATTTTATTTTATATGTTTATTTCCTGATTAAATTGTGCAAAGCCTATATGGAAGATGTTGCGTGCAATATTACTTACGTTATAATAAAATAAAATACCCAAATATCTATTGATAGGCCAATGACATTAAGTTACATGGAAGATTGCTTTGCAGCTCTTAGAAAAAAATTCTAAAACATAGCCATTTGGAAAGTATGATTATAGGGCGCCTGGGTGGCTCAGTTGGTTAAGCGACTGCCTTCGGCTCAGGTCATGATCCTGGAGTCCCGGGATCGAGTCCCACATCGGGCTCCCTGCTCGGCAGGGAGTCTGCTTCTCCCTCTGACCCTCCCCTCTCTCATGTGCTCTCTCTCTCTCATTCTTTCTCTCAAATAAATAAAATCTTTAAAAAAAAAAAAAAAAAAAAGAAAGTATGATTATATAAAGGTAAATGAAAATGAAAATGCTCAGTTATATTTATGCTGTGCCTTGTAACTTTATACAGTATGCATTCATACAGATAAGGCCAGAGAATAGTTGATAAATTAAGTATGGTTTATGGGTGGGGGTGCCTGGGTGACTTGTCGGTTAGGGGTCAGACTCCTGGTTTTGGCTCAGGTCACAATCTCAGGGTTATGGGATTCAGGTCCATCAGCTCTGTGCTCAGCGCAGAGTCTGCTTGTCCCTCTCCCTCTGCTCCCACCCCGCCCCAAACAAAGAAATAAAATCTTAAGAAAAAAAAAAGAGTGGTTTATGGGTGAAATCTATACCACGTCTTTCTGGATTTGCTTTACTATTTGACATTTTTATAATTTAAAAAATTGGAGAAAATGATAAACACTAGGGCAGAGTACCTACACCTCAATCCAGGTCACCTCCTGTGCTGACAACATGTGCTTTTGGCTAGTCCTGCCCCTAACACTTGGAGACCAAGGCAAGAGTACAAATAGAGGTCCCTCAGTCTGCAGCCCACTGTCTTCCCTTTCCATCTGGACGCACTGGCCCTTCTGTCCTTTGTGGGAACTGATAGCACTGTGTAACTGTCAACTCTCATCTGTGTGAATTGATGGCAGGAGCTGCCGTGCCAGCCCTGGGAGTGGCCTTTAGGGCCACTGGAGTGGGGAGCTTCTGGGTTTCCAGTCCTCAGAGTGTGGTCTGGAAGGGGACATGGGTTCCATGTGGCATGCCCCCTTGGCATACGCATTCTTTGCTCAGTGGAGTGAGTAAAGCCAGAGGATGGCCGCAGTGGGGTGTTCACAGTGTGGGGCCCAGGACCGAGGCTCCAGCTGCCCAAGTGTGAGAGGGACATTGGCTTTGGGCGTATGAGACCAGAGTCAAGAATATTAGCATATTAGAATGTTAAAGCTGTGTTAGTGCTTTCTCCGTTAGCAATGGATTATAGCTTGCTGTTGGGTGCTACTTTGTACTCTGTTACAATTTACACAGAACCACATATTTAATCATTATTTCCTGGGATTCAAAAGTAAAAGAAACCTTGGCTCTTTATTTTCTGACGTGATCTAAGGAATCTGACAAAATATTTCCAGCTAAAATGCTATTATTTTCTTTGTTTACACTCATCCTTTTCATCAAAAGCTGTGCTTATAACATGACTGCTCTGAGTCCCATTTCCCAGAGGTTATTTCATGAGCTTAGAGCTCAGTCTCCAGGGTTTTTCTGCCTTAATGTGAACGTGGTAGATCTTGAGCGTATTTCCATCAGCTGGAAAGGGCCCACTGTCTTTATTCAGTCAATGAGCTTCCATTCATTCATTGGTTCCACTAATATTTATTAAGCATTGACTCCATACCCTCCATGGAGCTGACAAGTAAAAAGAAATAGATAAATCATGTCGAATTGGGTGCTGTAAGAAAATGTTGGGACCCGAGTGATAAGGACTCTGGGTGGGTAGGGTGGAGTGCTTCCTAGGGAGAGAAAGATGTAAAATGCAAGGTCTCTGAGACATGGGAATTGGTGTGTTTGAGAGAGAGGAAAAGAAAAGACACAATATTTGATTCTGGAGACAGAATCCAGAGGTGCCAGGTCCAAGAATGAAACCTCTGCCCTAGACATTTTCCCAGTTATTTTCTTTCCAGCACAGTTTTCTGCGAGGAGAAAAACCAGCTTGGGCTTTGGCATCTCGCTTAAGCGGATGGTGAGGAGGGGCATGGCGATGAGAGGGTCGGTGGGGAATGAAGCAGAGGAACACAGGGAGGGAACAGAGGGCCATGTTAGTCCGTGGTCACAGATCCAAAGCCAAGGGCAGAATATGCATCATTTGGGAGCTGGTACTGGAAAAAGGGACTCAAGAACTCCTCTATTGCATTTTCCCATCGGACAGCCCCAGGCAAGCCAGGAAGGCCGTGGCTAGTCACTCACGCCTCCTTCTCATCTATTTGTTTATTTAAAGCATGAAGCCAAGATCAAATCCCTGACAGACTACATGCAGAACATGGAACAGAAGAAGAGGCAGCTGGAAGAGTCCCAAGACTCGCTCAGTGAAGAGCTGGCCAAGCTCCGGGCCCAAGGTAAATAGTCGACTACTTTGCAGGTGTTGAGCTCTTGGCCTACATCAGATACTCTCTAGTTGGCCGAACTCATGATGTTTAGTTTTGCTCGATTATACCATTTCTAGATCTGCTGAAAGCAATGGAATAATTGGGGGGGGTGGTTAAAAAAAAAAAGAAATATCTAGAAGATTGCCCCCACCCAAAATCTACTCCTCTTCCCACTTTCCTTCAGTCCACTCTGTTGCCTGAGTCAGAATCTTCTCTCTCCCACCTCCTGCCTCCAGTCTGTCCCCATGACCTGTCCATTGGACCTGCCAGACGCTTGTCTGCTTCTGCTCATTTCCACCTTCATTTTTACTATCCTTAATCCTAATTAAGAGTTGTGGCTACATCCATCTATGGAGGCTCTCACCCCACCTGCTCCAGGCCGGCCGCTGTACTGCATCCCAAGGAACTATTCTAAAATCACCTTCAATCTTGTGCCTAATCCCGTGCCTCTGACCCTTCCATGGTGTCCCACTGCTCTTAATATAGAGTCTGAACTTCTACCAATGCTACCTGCACCCTCCATCTTTGGAAACAGCTCTTCCCTTTGCTGGACAGCCTCCTGATGCCCTTTGCTTAGGGAAGTGCCTGACACATAGAAGCACTCAATAGATATGAATAAATAGAAAAAATTCAAGAGAGGTAACTAGAAACAAACCAGAACAGATTTAAGAACAGACACATTGTGGTGAAATGGAAGACACATACCATGACTTGCAGTGAAAATTGTTAGAGTCCTTTTGGAAAGCATTTTGAAAATAAATAGTAATAATCATAACACTTGTCATACCTTTTGATCCTCAAATCTCAAATATTCATTGCAAATTCCTTGTATTAGTGGGGGAAAGAAAAGCCACCTAAATGTCCAGCAGTTAAACGAGCTATGGGATGTTAACAGAACATGTGCTTTGTTTTGGAGATGAAGTACGTGCAGGCTGTGGGGCCATGCTGACAAGGCGTCCTTAGATTAAAGATCATAATATGTAACTTTATCTTTACTGTGGTTATAACGTGTAGGAATCAACAGATACTTGTGTTCCAAGGCCTGCAGATTAATATTTGAAATGAAAATGGTTTTGATAGGGAGTAGGATTGGTGTTGATGTCACCCTTTTTTATTCCCTTTATTGTTAATATAGGAATATGTTAATAATATAATTTACTTTCTCAGTAAATACATTTGTTTCAAATGCCAAGGCAAATTGAGAAAGATCGAGAACATCCTTACCCCTGCTATGACCTTGTCATGTTTTCCTTATGTGATAATGGATGAATGTTAGAGATAGCATGCTCCCCTTAAGACTTGACATGGAAAAGAACTTTTCTCTCTTGTAAATGGCTTCTGCAGTGGTGCCACAAAGTAGAAATAAAATAGAGGTGAGAAGATCTGAAATAAAGTAGAACAGACTAGCTAGAAAGCGTAATGACTTGAGTGACACTGTTCTAAACCATTTTGCCGCCCCCTCCCCCTGCCCCAGCCTGCTGCTTGCTCCGTGTGCCCAGTGAATACCCCTGGTCAAGAATAGGCTGGGACAGGCTCCCCCTGGAGGTGTGCCACGCACCAACTATGGGGGCCTTCCTGTTTAATCTGGACAGTGTTATTTTATATTTCTGTTTTCTTTGTTCTTGTCCTTAGATTTTGTTTTTCTGCTCTAGATTCTTAGAGAATAAACAGCGTACCCATGGGAGGTAAATTAGTTCTTTCTGGAACTCCAATAGTGGCATGCATCCGAATGCCACTAACATTCACAGAGTGCTTTCTAATCTGCAAAGCAGGGTACTGTACACCTACTCAGGCGCTGCTCACTGAGGCCAGGGGCAAGGTCAGACACAGCCGGGGCAGTTCTGACCTCGAGTGGCCCACTCCCAGGTCAGCACCCCTCCCCCTCCCGCCGCTCCTCCCGCTGGAGTGGGCAGCCTCCGTGGGTCAGAAGTCTCCCCCGGGAGGTCCGAGCTTGGATAGCATGGTTGTAATTGGTCATGTAAGCTCATGTTTCACTCCGTGGCCTTTCTTCCTTTTTTTTGGTCTTTTATCTTTTTTAAAAATATGTTTACTTTTGGATGTGAGTCCCACCCGTTAAATCTTCAATCATCATTTAAAATTCAAAACAGAAAAAATGCACGAAGTCAGCTTCCAGGATAAGGAGAAGGAGCATCTGACGCGGCTGCAGGACGCGGAGGAGATGAAGGTGTGTACGCCGCCCCTTCCCTGCAGCCCAGCGTGCGTTTGGACTGCGTTTTCTTATTCTAGGAAAATCTGTCTCCTTTGGAGACGCGTGGGGCAGTGTAGGAGGGAGGGGAAGGGACCGGTGCCCGGCAGACAGAGCCGTTCTCACAGTGCGGCCTGGCCCAGCACTGAGAGGAGGGCGGAGGTGTCCAGAAGCCCTGAGAGGTCCGCAGCTAGTAGGCATGCTGCGTTAGTCCAGGCTTCCTCCCTGCTCCTGGGGGAGGGGAAGGAGCAGTCCCTCCCGGTCCCCGCGTGGGCCACACTGCCGAGCTGAACTTCTGAGGAAGTGTTTGCCCTTCCTGTGAATGAAAGAGAACATCTTTCCCCTTGACCTTTTTAAAGAAGCACTCCAGATTTGGGATTTCCATCGTACACATAGAGAGGTTTATTTTTGGTCACATGTAAAGTAGTGAAGGAAAATGTAGGAAAAATGATTGGGAAATAAGATTTTTAGGTGAATAAAATGAGATATGAGGGGGTGTAGAATTTTGATTCATTTTAGGCAAACCTGCAAGTCCCGGTGGGTGTAAGCCCATAGGTAAAACAGTGCCCATGGCATGAGCCTGCTCCAGCCTTACCTTGATGGGCCCTCCTCCTGGTTTCACATCACTTCGGTGGAAAGGTCTCTGAATATCACCATAAATCTGTGCAGTGCTCAGGGCAGGGACAATTCCCTAAATTTTACAGGTGAGGAAGTGTGGCTCACACGGGTTACGTGGCTTGTCTGTAGGCACCTGGCTATAGTAAGAGGTCTGTGCCCTCTGATTGACCTGGCGAGAGAAGCCATGTGGCTCAGGTGAGCTGTAGAAGGTCACAGGAGAGCTTTTTATTTAATTAATGGGCTGCTCTAGCTCCTAGGGCCCGCTGGGTTTTATCACAGATCTTTGGGTTTTCTTGTGCCAGTAAAGCAAGGCGGGTTCTGGGGGCCCCAGTTTTGGGACTTGACAGCCGAGGGACGTAGGGTAGGAGGTAGAAGCAATCCAGGGCTTGTCATGGTGTGGGCTGGGAGCCAACAAGCCGGTGACACATTTCTCTTGGCCTGGCTTGCAGAAGGCCCTGGAGCAGCAGATGGAGAGCCACCGGGAAGCTCACCAGAAGCAGCTGTCCAGACTTCGGGATGAAATCGAGGAGAAGCAGAAAATCATCGATGAGATTCGGGAGTGAGTCGGCCCAGGGGCTCTCGGGACACAGGGGTGGGCATGGCTCTCGGGGCAGCCTGGAAGGAGCTTTGAGCCGAGGGCAGCTTTGAGCCGAGGGCTGCTGTCCTTGCCCTGCGAGCTCTGTGCTCTGCCCTGTGTGCAGCTGGCTAGACGTGCAGCTTCCGATGTCTCTTCTCCCATCTGGAGCTGAGCCTCTGGGGGCTCTGGTGGGGCAGGTGGCAGGCAGGCGCGGCCACCCTTCCTCGTCCCCCCGGGAGCTGGGGTCATGTCGGTGACTCGGCTGGGTAGACACATGCCCTTGTAGGCGGAGACACAGTCTGTAGGAAAATATATACCAAAGAAAACCAAAACCCAAAAACAACCCAAACCCTACATTGGTCCTGACTCGGGGATTCTGATAGGCTAATAAATACTCCAGAGAAGACAGTCAGCTCCTGCTGCGTCCTCACCCCAACACCTAAGTGCTCCCTGAGCCACCTGGTCACATGCACACACTTCTCAGGGCCCCGTGTCTGTGCTCGTGGACCTGTGGCTTTGCCAGGATGGCGCCCTTGCAGCTTGCCTCTGGTATCACCTCCCGCAGGGCCATTCTCCCGTCCCGTCACAGCCACTGAAGAACCCCTGCTCCATAATGACCTCTCCCCTCCTTCTCTCTGACCTTCCCACCTCGTTGTCAAAACAAGGTAGCAAGCTGGGGAGTGCCTTCTGGATCCTCTCCTTGAGGATTCTTACGTTTGCACAGTGAGTGCCTTGGCAATCTTTGAACATCTTTGCAGAATAATGTTTTTAAATGCCCCCAAATAAAAGATGAGTGAAAATGAAGAAAACCAGTTATGTTGAAATACAGTTCCATCCACTAACACCCCCACCCTCATCCCCAAGATCTAGACTAAAGCCTCCCTCCGCTCCCACTTTCTGCAGATGAAGAGCCAGATTTCTGTATGGGAAGCAAGGCAAGGTTAAATGAGTTTCTTAGGGTCATACGGCTATGTAGGAATCAAACTGGAGTTAGAGTTTAATTCTCCAGGCTACTGATCCAAATCTCTCTTCACTGTGTGCAAGCTGCTCACACAGCACATTTGCATTTTGAAAGAGGAGAACGGTAACGAAACAAAGTGTAAGTGCTGTGATCTGGGCTCCGTGCTCACTGCCTACCTAAGGCAAGTCCTTAGGATCGTCTTTGCCCTCCTCCTTTTGGACCACCCCCGTGCTGTTATTCATGTTGTTCTTTCCCCTTCAAGCATGTCCTGCGTTCTTTATTCTGATTAATCACCCTCGACATGTTCAACTGGAGGGGGACAGCGGGGAGGGAAGGAGGGAGGGTTGGTGAATGAGTTAGTAGATGGAGAAGTTTCCTTGGCCTGCGCTTTCAAACAGACTCTGGGTTTTCCTTCAGATAGTGTAGAATCTGTTCCTTTACGGATGCACAGGTAGGGCCATACAAAATGTTCTATAAATACCGCATGCAAATGTTGACGGAGTGCCCCCAACCAGATGGCAAGTTTCTTTTTTTGCCTTAGACCCTGGGCTTTCTTTGTGTTTCCTCTCTCTGTACCCCCTCCTTGCAGACTTCACACAGTGGCACTGTACCTGTGTCAGCCAGGAATTTGGACTTAGGGGATGTTTTCAGATCATCGGACCAGAGAGGAAGGGATGGGTGAAATGGCCAAATAAGATTTCCTGAGTGGGTGTGTGCCGTCTGTAGGGCAGACAAAGCAGAGTTCTTCTGACTGTGCTCTCTCTGTTTTAAAATATCAGCCCTTTTCCTAGCTCATTATTTTCCCCCCAAAGCTCTTGCACAAGCCAACTATAAATATAGTCTCAAAGCCTTATGTTTCATGCCTCTGAGATGTTCCCAGAAATTAGTTTTCACTTGGGCAGGGAGGAAGCTGTGAGGTTGTTCTCTGATCCCTCAAAATCCTCCAGAATTGCTGTGTTTATTGCACAGAACTAATGGGGTTGGAACAGAACCATGTCTTTAGCTGGGTGCCTCGGAATTTCAGACTCATGTGCAATGTATTGCTTTTTCCCCTCAATTTCAGTTTGAATCAGAAGCTGCAACTGGAACAGGAGAAGCTCAGTTCTGATTATAACAAGCTAAAGGTGGAGGACCAGGAGAGGGAAATGAAACTGGAAAAGCTCTTGTGAGTGCACCTGAAATATTTCCTCTGTTTCTCTCCTCCCCACAGAGTCTTAGGGAAGTCTACCTCTGTGATTCCGATTCCTAAATATTCTGGTTAGGTTGGGCCGATGTAAAAATAGAGCCTATTTCTGTGAGACGGTTAGTTTTGTTGATTCATCCATAGGTGCAAATGGTATCTGGAAATCTCTGATGGCCCTTTGGTGGTTCATGATCCCTTTTTGTTTTTTAGATTGCTCAATGATAAAAGGGAACAAGCCAGAGAGGACCTCAAAGGGCTGGAGGAGACAGTGGTACGTCAGCATGTTTCCCAACTTGTTTTAGTCCCAAAGACCCGATTAGCTTGTGATTTGTTGAATTTGTGTGTTCTGAAACTTGTTCTGTGCCCACCTTTCTCAAGTACCATTTTAGACAAAATATTTAGGCAAATACCACATAGTTAGACATTAAGACAAATACAAATATTTAGACACACCATGGAAAAGTGAGAATTGTAGAATTTATTCCCCAGCTCTTGATACCATGAGTAATTGTCAGTCCGTCTGTCCGTCCCTTAGTGCTGTAACCAGGGGCCCTGAGTGAGAATTATAGTGACTTGCAAATCAATGCCTGAAACTTTACCGACTTTGCACATTATGACTTATTTCCATTCAATATTCAAGAACACCTGCTAAGGGCTGGCGTTCTTCTAGGTGCTTGGGTTGTATCAATAAATGACAAAGACAAGACCCTGGCCCTTGTGAAGCTTGCCTTCAGCTGAGGGTGAGGGGACAGACAGTGAAAAATAAGGAAGGAAATCATGACCTCCATTACATGGTTATAGGAAGTGCAAAGGTCCCACAGGGAGGTGATGTTTGAGCAGGGACTTGAAGCAGGTGAAAGAGGAAGCCATGGGGATGTCTGGGGGAAGGGCCTTCCAAGCAGCGGCAATAGCCTATGTCAAGGCCCTGAGGTGAGCCCAGGGTTGGCATGTTGGAGAATGGCAGGAAAGTCAGTGATGCAGGAAGGAAACAAGAGGTAGGCACAGAAAGGTCAAGGCAAGAGTGGTTGTAGGCCAGGTAGGGCCTTGAGACCCACAGGTTTTGGGGCACAAGAGTGACAGATCAAAAGGCTTATCATTTGAAATCCTGGTTGGTTTTCTCCATCCTACATCTGAATTCATGAGGTTTGTCTGCTCTGGTTGACTTCCATTTCCGCTGCTCTGAGGGCTCTTGAGAGTTCTGCAAAGTGCCACACAGCCTGTGTTTGAAGACTGACTGTCCCAACAGAGCCTCTCAATTTGGTGAGAGGATGGTTATTTTACATGATAAAACAACAGAGAGACTGTTGTTTAGATACAGTCATACGGTTTTTTTTTAAGATTTATTTATTTATTTATTTGAGAGAGAGTGAGAACACATGCACACAAGTGGGGGTAGGGGCAGAGGGAGAGAGAATCCTCAAGCAGACTCCATGCTGAGTGCGGAGCTCCATTTCAGGACCCTGAGATCATGACCTGAGCTGAAATCAAGAGTCGGCCACTTAACCTACTAAGGCACCCAGGCGACCCAATATAGTCATACATTTTGATTCCATTCATGTGTTATGTGAATTTATGTGGGACCATGCCTCCCAAGAATCTGGTGACTCCAGGCTGTAGGCAAATTGTTGCTTAGGGCCGGACCTGATTGTGCACTCTCTTTCCTGGGCTGATGTTAGTTGCCCCTCAAAGCCGGGTAGAGAGACAGAGGGGACCGTCCACTCAGAAGTAAGATGACCGTGGCTCAAAGGATCTCGGGCCTTTCCGACATGGTGGAGAAGGTGGTGGATGCCCGGCTGGCTCCAGGGGAACCGAAATGAAGCCATGAAGTTGCCTCATCTATGTCTGTTTTACCGGAGAAGTGATACCCACAGTTACAGATGATTCTAAAAATTCAGAAAAATATTGAACTTTAAAATCCCCACTAGCCAGAGATAAGTGACATTTCAGTACCTTCCACCTATGAACCACCGTCCCTGCCCCCTCCACCCACACACTCGCCCACAGGGACAGACCCACTGACACATTGGCTCCCTTTCTCTCTCCTGCTCTCACTCACTACTCACACACATTGCATACATCCACATGTGAAACCCCAAATCAGATCCCCACAGCATGTGTCATTTTAGGCTTGGATGTTTTCACTTAACCTGCTGTTGGAATCCTCCCCAAGCTGTAATGTTCTACAGCAACATGCTCGCTTGGCCTTGGCTGACCTTATTTGAACTCTCCTTAGCTCAAGGGCTCTTCTGGCTTCTTGAGTATTTGGGTGGGATGGGGGGTGAAACCTAGCGTGTAGGGGTTGGAGCCTGAAGCCCACTCCAGGGGTTGACGTTGGAAGATGTCGAGGGTGTCTTGGGGCCCTTGGGCAACCATCTTTTCCTTTAACAGGGGACTTTGGGCTCTGGGGCTGGACCTCTGCTGCTGTGTTAACGGGCCTTGGGTTTTCACCTCTCTGGGCTCACCCTCGCTGTCCCCTGTGACAGGAAGCTGAGCCTTGAGCTTTTACACAGAGGAGAGTGGCCTGTGACAGGGAAGGTTTCAGGGAAGTGAGTCAGGTGGAGTGAGGAAATGATGATGTGGAGGAAAATTCATTGCTGCAGGAAGCCAAATGCTAGCTGCCTAAGCTTAAACATGCAACGTGCAAACTGTTTTAAAGGTTTTTAACCACCCATCCTGAATTGTTGAATTCACCTAAGAACAAACAAAAATGTGATAAAGGTGCCAAACTCAGGACTCTGTGGTATTTGGTATTTAGGCCCCAAGGAAATGCTTGGCCCTTTGACAAGGGACCCGTGTCTCCTCATTTCCCTTTGGTGTGGTGGCTTTTTTATGGAAAATGTTTACTATGGTTGCAGTTCAGTCAGAAATAAAATCCCTGAAGTAGGAGAGAGAACATGCAGAGCAAGGGCTTGGGCTGGGGGGCGGAGGGGTGGTGCTGAGATCCTTGGGCAGGGGGCCTGGAACAACATGTTTGTAAATGTGAGCTCAGAGCTCACCCCTGCATCTGCCCTGGAAGGCGGCTAGGCCTCGGACAGGTGCCATGTGCATTGCGTTCATAGTAACAGGCCTGTTTGGCTTCCTGCACAAAGTCATTTGCCTCATCTGAGGAAGTAATTGACTTTAGGTGCCTCTTATTTCAACACAGAATTGCAGACTTGGACCCAGTAACAAGACCTTAAATTAACACAGAACTTTTATTCCAAGAAACTTAGTGTTTCCATGGCTGTATAGCCTGTTTTTTTTTCCTGTGGGCACGTGCAGGCTGCATCCCTTGACATTCCGTGTTAAGAGTAGGTCAACTTAGACAAATTGAGAAATTCACATGCAAGTTTATCTCTCTCCTCCCTCACAGGAAAATATCTTGCAAGGAACTAATCGTATCTCCAGTAGTAAGAACATGGAGACTTGAATGGGAGGAATTATTTTCGTTTTCTGATCTTGCTAACAAAGGTCACCAGGTTTGACTCAGAGCCTTGTCTTCGCAATCTAATTCCTAAAGTTCATTTATAGAAAATAATACAAAATGAAAAAATGAAAAAAAAATACCCCCAAGAAGTTAATTATAACGTAACAATATTATGACAACAAAGGGAAACAACAAAAGCCTACTGAAGAAATGGCTGTCAAATATGGTGCATCAATAAGTTAATATTAGCCAATGTTTACTGAGCACTTACAATGTGTCAGAAATGGCTGTAAGAGTTTTATAAGGATTACCACATCTAATCCCAACAACAACTGTGAAGCAACTACTATATTTATTCTCCTGTTACAAATATGAGAGCTGAGGCACTGGAAGGTTAGGTAGGTTGCCCAGGGTTACATGGGTATAAGGCCCACCACCTGCTTCATCCACAAGCTCAGTGATGTAAAGCCAATGCACATGGCCCAGGGCTAGAAGGGGGCGTGGAAATAGGAAAAATGTCGGTCTGCTAGGAATGGAGAGATTGTGGGTGACTTTCCGTTTAGACTTGCTGGCATTTTGTGTAATGTGTATGTGATAAATTAGAGGAAAAAAATAATCCATTCTGGTACAACACAACCAACTAGGAATTTTTGTGAGAAAAGGTGTTTACTTTTGTGGTTGAGGGGAGAGAAAAAGTTCTATTGAGAACACCGCTAACAAGTAGGCTCTGTTCTAGTTTAGTTCATGATTTGAGCTCCCAGTCTCTGCCCTTGGGGCAGTCTCGAGACAGGTGGAGGGGTGGACATATGTGGTAGGAAAGCCAGGGGAACTGTGGGAGCCCCGTGGCCTGGATGGTAGGCTCACAGAGCAGGTGGGAACCGCCTGGGTCCTTGGGGCAACCAGATGGGGATGGTCTGGTGCCCGATGTGTCCCGAATTCAAGGTGTCTCCCGCACTTCAGCGTCATTTTCACAATCTTCCCTTCCAGTCTCGGGAGCTGCAGACTCTGCATAACCTCCGGAAACTCTTTGTCCAGGATCTGACTGCCCGAGTTAAAAAGGTGAGTTCTATTTTGTGTGAACATGACTGAGAAGAAAAGGAAGATGGACAGAAAGAATCATTTTCTGTTGAAATATCACTTGCTTAAATTGGGGCTGGTTGTGCTTAAAAGTTAATTACGTCAGGCCAGAAAATGTATTCAGAGAATGTACTGGGGGCAAAAAAAAAAAAAAAAAAAAGAAGTACTTGGGAATATTTTTCCATCGGCTTTTTTCTTAGTAAAAGGAAGTTATAATCCTCTCCCTGGCCTTTCATTTCAAATGAGCACACACCTATCTGGCTGCAGCGTGAGAGCTGTTGTGCATAATGCGGGGAAAATCCAGGGGGTCTGGTCAGGCACTGCTGCCCTGAAGCTTGGTGAGCAATGCCAGAAACCCAGAGAAATTAGAGGCAGGAACCTCCCGTTTGCCCATGAGGTGCCGTTTGGGGCTGGGTCGGAGCGTATGAAGCGCTTCAATGTGCGTCTTATTTGCTCTTCCTGGCAACCTCGTGTAAGTGGTTCTTACTGTGCGGTTCTGTCTTAGTGGAGATAGGCTCAGCGGTTAAGTAACTTGCCCAAGGTCACACAGCTGGAAGAGCTGGAGGTAGGATGGAATCCAGGTTGTGTGACTTCTGAATCTGGGCTTCGGTGCTCCCCGTGCCTCACACAGTGCTCTCAGAGAGTCACCGAATAGCGAATCCCAGAGCGGCTCGCAGAAGTTCCAGGAAGGAGGAGAGGTGGGGGGCGGCAGGGGGACTGCTCTTTAAATATGTTTATACATGATAGAGGAGGAGCAATGGGCCATAGCCAGCTGTGTAGTAGGATGGAAGGAAGGTGTATTTAGAAGTATGCACATGTGTGCCCATGTGTCTGAAGGAGCCAAGGGAAGGAGGTGAAATATATATATATATATATAAAGAGGGGGTTGATGGAATCAGATCTGAGCGGGACAGAATTAATAGCATAGATGGATGTATCAGCTTGGTAAGGGGAAGGGATACAATTCCCCAGAGAGGAGTAGTGGAGAGGTGAGATGGAGATGGTTGCAGGATAATACGTAACCGTGGAAAGGTGCATCCAACGACTTTGATCTTCTCAGTTAATGTGGAGGCTCCGTCCTTGATGGAGAAGGACGGGAGACAGTGGAGAGCCCACAGAGCCTAGAGAAAGCTCAGGCAGCCCCGGGGGGGGGGGCGGATTTGTCAGGGATGAGTGAAAGGATTGCCGAGCAGTGGTGTGAATACCCAACTGAAGGTCAGAGCATGTATTTGCCGTGGCCCCTGACAGCATGGTTCCAGGCCTGAAAACGAAAATAAAGAAAGGCAGAGAATGATAGGAGAGTTTAAGGCCCGAATGGCAGTGGTGGTGACCACAGTCATCAAAATAGAAATGGCCATCAGACCTGGACCCGGTAGGAGGGAGAGGCCAGAGCAGAGGGGATGGAGAGGGAGACTGCAGAGATAATGGCAAGGACTGGAAAAAGTCAGGGAGGAGGGGGTCCGAGGGAGCTTAAGATCAGGCTTCCCTGATTTCATGATCTAAAACTGTCGAGAAAGGACCTACTTGTACACCAGTGGCTCTCACAGTGTGGTTATCTGGCCAGCAGCTTTGGCATCACCGGGGTGCTCGCTAGACATGTGCATTCTCAGACCCACCCCAGGTCCACTGAAGCAGAGACTGGGGGTGGGGCCCAGCAATCTGAGTTTTAACAAACCCTCCTCTGGGCAAAGTTTGAGAAGCCCGGATGTAGATGGAAGAGACAGGTTTGAAATCAGCGTGCAGCCATCACCTCTCAGAAGAAGAAGGAGGGATGATGGTCCCCTCTGTAATCAGACGCAGCAAGGATGCCTTGCCATTTTTGGGCTCCAGGATGTGTTTGCCCATGTGTTTCTCAGTTCACCTCTTGGCCCAGGAGGGCAGTTTTTGTCCATTTCAAGATCTGATGAATTTCAAGAGTTTATCCATGGGCTCAGATGCTGTGACTAGTTTGAGATGGATTCATTAAGTAATTTCATGGGATTGGAAGCTGAAGGGACAAGCAAAGGCCACTGAGACTTCCCGTTGGGACCACAGGCACTCGCCCAACAGCTTGGTGACTTATCTCAGTTGGGATGTTTGAAATCAGATTTAGGTCTTAGGTTTATGTTTTCACACTGGTTCTTCTTAATGAGTTTTGGAACAGTTCCTTTTGAAAAGAAAAGTCTATTTACCCACCTGCAAGGGAGAGGTAAATTTCACAGAGAGAACTAATCTGTTATCTTTCAAAGGAAGATTGGAAGTTTGGTTTGGTTTGGTTTTGTTTTCAATTCTCTAAACTATAATGCTCGGAAAACCCTTGACATCAGCCAAGGGAATTCATTGGGAAGGTCATTGAGTCTCAACTTGTAGAACCTCTGTTTATTTTCACTTTCAGAATAACCTTTGGTGGGGTTGGGGTGGTGGTTTTTTATAAAGATTTAGAATGTTGTCCAGCTCACGCTGGGTCGGAGGGGGCCGGGGGGGGGCTGTGGGCGGGGCTGCCTGCTGATCACGGGTGTTGGTACAGAGCGTGGAGCTGGACAGCGATGATGGAGGGGGCAGTGCTGCCCAGAAGCAGAAAATTTCCTTCCTGGAGAATAACCTGGAGCAGCTCACGAAGGTTCACAAACAGGTAGGAGAGTTGTGCCAGCTTCCTCTGCTTCTCTTACTGTCCCAGAAAGAAGCCCCACTGTATCTGGCCACGGTTCGGGAAGGAGGTTCTGCATCACCAGGGGACATTAGTGCCAGAAGGATCCTTGGAGTCCTTTAATTAGTCTTCAGTGACTTCCCTTATATATAAAAGTCTTTTATCGAAGCCAGATGGAAGGAATCGGAGTTTGAGCTCTTGGGGTTTGGGAAGTGGGGTGTTCAGAACCCTGCCTTATCATCCTGCCTCTGGTTCCAGCCTTGGACCCACAGGCTGCACAGAATGCAAAGTGAATACCACCGAGTCGGTTCAGGCCCCTTATTTTTGCAGATGAATAAACAGACTGAGAGAGGAAGTGACCTGCTTCATTTTCTCTCTGCTCTGTTGCCCTATTTCTTGGGCACCCTCTCCGGTTTTTATGATGCTCTGGAGTTTATTCAGAGGGACAGCGGAATGCATGGCCAAACCTACTGGTGATCTAGGCAGTTGTTTTTCTCCTTTCTGTATAAATACTGGAATGTTCATGTTTCCCCTAAATCCTAAAGATCTGGAATGTGATAAAAATGGTCCAACTTAGGGTATGTGCTATGGTGAGCGCTGTGAATTGTGTAAGACCGATGAATCAAAAACCTGTACCCCTGAAACAAATAATACATTATATGTTAATTAAAAAAAATGGTCCAACTTGTTGGACCACATAATTAAGGGGATGCATCTCTCTTGGGCCTACATCCTCTTCAACATTACCTAGGATGGCATTTTTCCCCAAAGGGAGGATGACAGATTCAACATGGTTGAAGTCATTCAAGCAAATTACTGATGAGAAATATAGAAGCAGAAACTGCAGTCTGAGTTGCAATTAGTGATTTTCTAATTCACTAATTTGAAATATCAACATGGTTGAAGTCATTCAAGCAAATTACTCATGAGAAATATAGAAGCAGAAACTGCAGTCTGAGTTGCAATTAGTGATTTTCTAATTCACTAATTTGAAATAGGGCTCTGAAATTCATTATTTTATGAATTCAATGAATATTTTAATAAATACTAAAAACCTGCTCTCTGCCAGGCACTGGAGCTGGTAGAAGGCAGGTGTAGCCTCGGGATGAGTAACCTTCATATAGCACTTTCTGATTTTCCAAAACTTTTCTGGATCCACTGCGATTCACACAATGGGCCTCTTATATACTCTCCTTTTTTATGGGTGAGAAACCTGAGACGTGTAGGGGTTGGATGACTTACCAAGTCAGATGTCAGGAAATAATAGAGCTGGCTCTTGAGCCTTTTTTTTTTTTTAAAACCAGCGCAAGCCTGTTGCTTCTTTTTCTTTTTTTTTTAATTTTAAAAATTTTCCTTCATCTTATTTTTTAAAAGATTTGTATTTATTTTTTAATTCCATAATTAACAGACAGTGTGCATTATTTTCGGGGATCTATCCGTTCAGCAATCCCATACATTACTTAGTGCTCATCACCGTAAATGTCCTCTTAATCCGCTTCACCTCTTTCACCCATTCCCCCCCCACCTCCCCTCTGGCAACCACCAGTCTGTGGCCAGACCACCCTGAACACGCCGAGTCTCACCCGTTGCTTCTTAACCGAGGGTCTTAGGTAATAAGAGAAAGAGCAGTATCCCAGAGTTACCTGTGAGTCTCTGGATATGTTGCAAAGTGGGTCCAAAACACACGCTGGTGGAGACAACGCGTCCTGCACGGGAGGAGGCCTGCAGAGAGCTCTAGAACATGCACGCCTGTACCCAGTGCTTCTGAACTTGCTAACATCGCTCAGCTTTCACACGCTAGTGCCGGAGTAGCCAAGCTTCCTCACACTAGCTCCCCGACCCACGCAAACTGAAGAAGAAGTAAATCCTGCCCACGCCTGAAAGCTTCCTGTGACCGGAAGTGGCCGTTAATTTCATCCTGCGTCCCTCCCCACTTCATTGCACACAAGAGGTGTGCGTAGCAGATTGGAGGCGCGGGTTCGGGATTTCCATTTTACTTGGGCGCTCCCAGCATTGGTGGTCACATGGACGTCCCGCACCCACCTAGCGGGGCTGCTTGTTTGGCCGCAGAGTCGGCTTCTAGCCGCCCTCCTGTCACCGTCTGCCTCTCCTGCCAGCCCCGTCACCTCCTTGGTAAGTCGCTCCCGTCCCCTCTCTCCGCAGCTGGTCCGGGACAACGCCGACCTGCGCTGCGAGCTGCCCAAGCTGGAGAAGCGGCTGCGCGCCACGGCGGAGCGTGTCAAGGCCCTGGAGAGCGCGCTGAAGGAGGCCAAGGAGAACGCCATGCGGGACCGCAAGCGCTACCAGCAGGAGGTGGATCGCATCAAGGAGGCTGTGCGAGCCAAGAACATGGCCAGGAGGGCCCACTCTGCCCAGATCGGTATGTGTGCCTCTCCCCCGCGCCCCTCCTGGAAGGCAGGGCTCTGCTGCTCTGGACTGTGTGCTCTGGAACATCTGCCAGGCTATAGTCAGGCCTGCAGCAGCTGGGCCAGCCGGCGCCTCCAGGCACCCTGCATTCCTCCCTGGAGAATGGCAGTGTCAGACACCTGCTTCCTTATCCTGAGAGGTTGCAGCATACACATTGTGGTCTTCAGAGCTGCTGAGCTGAGCAGAGAAGGTGGCCAACTTAGGCCGTCAGCTAAAGATATTTGGCTGTAAACGGAGGTACGTTCTCACAAGCACTAGAATATTTGGCTGTTTCTCAGTGAGGCCCAAAGGCCCCTTCTGTTCTGTACCAGGCAGACCGGGAAGGGGCAGGGTGTAGCCAGAAGCCTCAGGGAGAGCCACTTGCAAGGGCACGTTTGGAAGCACCTTGGAAAGAGCTAGGCTGGCCTCCGTGTGCAGCGTGTGGATCCCAGCTGGGAAAGGGGCCTGGACGTTCAGCCCCTGCCAGACCTGGGTTTGGGCATTTTGCCTGAGCTGGGAATGGGGGTGTAGCAGCTAAGTCATAGTTCCCAGGATGGAGCCACAAGCGGTAAAGAGATTTAGGAATGTTCTCTAGAGAGCTTTTCTTTTTTAAACTGAAATGCCTCCCAATAACATGTGATACTATTTCCCATCAGATAATGCTGTGCAGATGTTTTGTAAACCAACAATTTCATGTTTCTAGTTTTTAGATCATACCTTAGATTAATGTTTCATTGCATTTATTGGATTTCATGCTCTTTGTAAATCCGGAAACTAGAAAGCTTCTTCCCAGAAAAGTGCGTCATAGGCAGAAACCTGCACCCAGTTTCAGGGGCTACGCAGATGCCCTTGGAACCCGAGTGTTCCCTATGGATTGGCCTCAGAGAAAACTGGAAGTCCTTCTAATTTTCCTCAGCCAGAATTAAAGTAATTGATATATAAGTTCTCTCTGTTCCCTAACCACTGGGTGCCCTGGATTAGCTAACTGTACTGTCTGGGAGGGCAGACATCCTGTTTTCAGAAAGGTCTGATGCTTGATGAGAACTGTAACGATAAAAATTGTGCGTCTTGGTTTTCACATGTGACCCATGGGCATGTGGGTGTGGCCGTTTAAGCCCAGTCTGAATGCTCTGTCCTTTCTGTCGGATACAGCCAAGCCCATTCGCCCTGGACACTACCCAGCATCGTCTCCGACGGCCGTCCACACCATCCGAGGGGGAGGAGGCGGCTCTTCAAACTCCACTCACTACCAGAAATAAATATGAAGTGAGTCCCTGGTGTCGGGTGGTTTCCGTCTGGGGCAGCCCTGGGGCAGGTCCCTGGCCCTGCCTGGTTCTCATCCGTCTGCATGTACCCCTCCAAGAGTGAGCAGTTTAGCTGTCCTGGGACAGGCTGTAGGGGTGTAGCTTACCTACGCTCAACTCAGTGCAGAGCCTCAGGGTCTTCTCCCTAGGGCCACCTGGCGCTGGGGACCCTCCAGGGGTGGATGAGGGTGTGGCAAATGATTCACCTGAGCTTGCTTCTGTCTGTGGGACTTCACTGTGCCGCTGGCTTCCAGAAGGGCATTACCTGTTTGTCAACTGCTTTCGCTCAGAGCAGATAGATGTGGGTGGTTGCTTTAAGTTTCAGGAACTGACTGTAAAGAAAGAGCCAGATATAGAAAGTCATATTTTTGTAATTGCTTTCTGAGCTCAACAAACAGGGATTTTTAAGAATCGTGCTAATTTATATCTAGGTAGGTCAGGACCACTTTTTTCTTTGAGACGGCAGTTTATAAATTTCTCTTCCTACAATCTACATGCGTGATACTGCTCTACCAGCAAACAAACAAACAAAAAGGGATACACTTTAGAAAAGAGAAGAAGGAGAGAGCACAAACTGTCCTTTTGTACTTGAGATGGAGATAAGAGGTTACTCATTGGGCAGGGCAGACAGACAACTCGGTGGCCAGACAACTGTTCAGGAAAACTCTTGACTTTGCACCAGTAACCTGTGGATGGGAGGGGTAGCTCCAAATGCTGTCCTTCGACTCTGAGCTCTCAGGAAGCTAGCTTGCAGGATGGGCCAGCCGGCGTGGCAAAGCTGCAGTGTCAAGGCCAACTCTGGAGAGCACAGAGTCCTCTCTTGTCCTTTCCGATCAAGGTACGGGACGTGAATGTGAGGGGCTGGAGCCCTCTCTCGGGATATGACAACACTGCGAAGGCTCACGCCAAAACTGCCAAGGAGGAAGCTTGGTGCCTGCCCCCAGACGGCCCTGTCCTGCGCTGCCCCAGGCAGCATGCCAACGAGTGGGACAGGCACAGGTCAGATTAGGGAACAGGAGGGAAGGCCGAGGCAGCCCGAGGGCGGGCAGCATGTCCACCGCCATCTGCCGTGTCCTAAAAGGGTGGATAGGAAATGGTCTTGGCAGCGGGCCACCCCATTCAGATTTGATCGCTTTCCCTTACAGATAAAATAATTTGGATGTTAGAAAATTGTCGTCGGTATTGGGGCTGGCCCTCAAAGGGAACTGTAAAGGCAGCGTAGGATAGAAACTTAAACTGGTGGTTCTGGAACTTGGGTGGGTGTCAGTATCACTTGGCACCTGGAAGTCTTCGTGAAGTAGGGCCTGAGCCTTTGTGTGGTTACCGAGTACCCCCGGCGATTTCGTTAGCCACCAAAGTTTGGGGACTCCTATCCTGAAGGAACTGTGGCGTCTCTAGGGCAGAAGTGAATTTCTCTGTCATGTGAAGGAAATTTGAGGGTGGTCTGTCAGTGGCTGGTAAAGTGACTCTATAGTGACAGCAGAAAGCTCGCCTTTTAAGTTTAGACCCCCTGTCCTCAGCAAGTACCTTCCTTCCTCAAGGTCACCTCAGTGACTTCTACTCTTCTGGCTTTCGTGCCTACACACCATGGTCAGCAAGCAGAGAGGAAGCCGGGAAGAGGCAAAAGCAGCTTCTCAGCTGAGTCCGCTTCCTTTCATGGCCCTCCTGGAAGTCCATATAGTGCGGATGCCTGCGTCCCTCCGGCCATATCTGAGGCACGTGGCTGTGTCCAGCTGTAAGGGGACTGGAAAGTGGCTGCTTTCAGCTAGGCATATCACTGCCCCATGAAGGAGTAGTGTTCTTTATTTTTTATTTATTTTTAAAGATTTTAATTCTTTGAGAGAGAGAGAGAAGGAGCAGGAGCAGAGGGAGGGGGAGAAGCAGACTTCCTGCTGAGCAGGGAGCCTGATGTGGGGCTTGATCCCAGGACCCTGGGATCATGACCCGAGCCAAAAGCAGGTGCTTAACTGACTGAGCCAGCCAGGTGCCCAAGAGTACTGTTCCTTAGCTGAAGACGAGGCGATGGATGCTGGGTGGGTAACCAGAGCCTGCGTTGACTGAGCACCTACTATGCAACAGTGCTGTGCAAATGTAGTATCTACATTACCCCCTTCCATGTAAGCATGCAGAGCACTGGCTGTGCTTGGCTCCCAGCAAGCTCTCAATAAATACACTGGCCCAGGGATTCTGGGGTCCAGAGACTGTGCAGTGGACAGCCACTTTCCACATGCGATCCCATAAAGGTCCGTCAACGCATGTTTTGTGTAAGCTTCATACGACCCAGTGTTCCCTTCTCACACTTGAGATTGAGAAGCAGTGGGTCTGGTGAGACTTTTAAGACCTTCAGACTAACAGAACCACCCTCACCCATCCTGGTGGTCCATTGCTTTAACTTGAAGTGTTATAAGTGGATTTGATTATTTTATCTGCAGTTAAAGCCCCCTTGACCCACTCTCTCCGTGCATACAACCCCTGCAGCTGGGCCGTTCCCCACGTCACAAAACAAATAGGCCCCTTTCCGGTTATCAGGATGGTGGTGTGGTAGAGGGGCCTGGCTTTGGACAGGATACCTGGGTCAGGTGTTAGTTAGGTCTTCTACTCTTGTGTGTTTACTGTACTGAGTGCTTATTCATGGCCCCACATTCAATAAGTTACTTACCCTCAGAGTGGGCTTCTTCGTCTGTGAAGTGGGGAGAATCCTTTCCCTGGACGATTGGTTTTGAAATGAGGACTGACTGAGGTCATGCTTCTAAGCTGCTTGGCATCTAACAGGTGCTCCATCAAAACGTCACTGCTGTATAGAGTAGCAGTGTGCTACTTGGCACGCAGTAGGTGATGGATGAATGTTGTCTCCTTTAATTCACACCGTCGTTACAAAATAGTTCTTAGTCCCTCTCTAGCCCTAAATTCTAACCACTGAGTGGAGAAGGCCCGTGAGTATCCTATTTGATGCTATGACCAGATATAAGGTGTTTTAAAGTTACTATCATTTATTCATCTAAAGGTTATGAATAAGAACATGGACTATTTTTAAGAAAAAGACTGGGTATTTGTCAGTGGAGGTTAAAAAAAAAAGGATAGCAGCCAGTGAAGTGGGAAATTATAACTGGGAGTGAGAACATGCAAAATCATTTTTTAAAAAAAATAATTGGAGCTACCCCCTCCCCGCCCACTGTCAGGGGCAGGGGGAGAAGATATTTTCGAGACAAAGCACAGGCACCGCAAATAAAAGTCGTGAAGTTGAAAAAAAAAAAAATTGGAGGTGCACCTGGGTGGCTCAGTCGTTAAGCGTCTGGCTTCAGCTCTGGTCATGATCCCGGGGTCCTGGGATCGAGTCCCACATTGGGCCCCTTACTCAGTGGAGAGTCTGCTTCTCTCCCTCTGCTCTTCCCCCCACTCATGCTCTCTCGCTCTCACTCAAATAAATAAATTAAAATCTTTTTTAAAAAATGATTGGAAATGTGGAATTCATTGCTTAGTTGGGATCAAAACCTTTTGAGGTGATCTTTCCTGATCTTTGAGATGCTCATTCTGAAGTGTGTCTTCCTAGGGAAAAATGATCTCAGCTGCTGACTCTTCTTCCCAGCTCTCTTGTTGAAGCCAGAGCAGTGTATTCATACTTGGGCAGCACCTGGATATCTTTGGGGTTCCTTTGTGCTTCATTTCAGGTTTCAAAGAATACAGTCACAATGAGTATTTTGGTTTATGTTCAAAGTTTCAGAGCGACTAAAGATGCCAACATGGAGAAATCAGAACTCAGGATACTGCTGGCTTCTATCTCAGCTAGGTCAAATCCAGGGGAGCTGCCAGGGGGAGGAGAACAAGTACCAACCATGAAGTGACTGGGGAAGAGTAGCACAGATACTGGCTGGAAGGTGGGGCTGGCTGGCGTATTTGGGGAATCAGGAAGGCTGATAGGGCCGGAGCCCAGAGAATACAGAGACCTTCATAATCAGGGTTGTCAGGGAGGGAAGGAGGGGCCAGGTAAAGGAGGCCTTTGAGCCGGGCCAGCAGCATAGCGTGCAATCTGAGGGTGTGGGGCCACTGGGGACTCTGGGCCTGGGAGTGGTGGGACCTGGTTCATGAATGGGAAAGGCCACCCTGTGCCGGACCCCATGGAAAGGATGGTGTGGGGGGGAGTCACAGCAGGGGCTCCCCAGAGGCTCTTGCGGGGAGATGGATAATGTAGGAGACCGGAGAGTTACAGGCAGGGACTACTGGCCTCCTGAGAGGAGCTGCAATCCGGAGCATAGGTGGAGGTGATGGGAAGGCGGAGGAGGAAAGACAGGTGCCTGTAGGTGGTAGATGGGGTGGCAGGAAGGTGGGATGGATCTCATCTTAGTGCCTGGTTTCTTGTGGAGGAAGCCAGGTAAGCAGCAGGGAGGCAGGGAGATGCGGTTGCAGGCTGGAGAAGAGATAAGGTGTGAAGTAGACCTCTGAGGCAGTACTGAGTGCTTATTCATGGCCCCACATTCAATGCAGACATCATTTAAATATCGTTTGGCTCCCTGGCTCTGCAGGCCCTGCGGTGGGACTTCCTTCCAGGTAGTGCTTTGACTAGCCACTGGCTGCTTGTTCAAGTGTGTCCACCAGATGGCGCCAGTGGGGCACCGCTGGAACCTCGCTATTTTCTAAAAGGCTTTGAGGCAAAAGGGTCTTTTGACTGTCCTTTAGGCCCTTATTTCTCGGATTTGAATAGTAAATACAGTACTTTTAAGGGGATAAAGTTCTCATATTACCCAGAGTTGTTTTTTTTAATTATAATTAGGTATTTGCAAATTTACCATAGCATATACTTACAGATCTTACATAACTATTAAGTCAAAACAAATTTAGAAGTTAGATCGAAATGAACCATAAACCAAAATCAAATTACCAACCTTAACAGAAGTTAATAAAAGATGGCTTTTCTCTGAAAAGAGCTGGGTGCAATGTGATTCTGGTATGTGTTGCTTCTAGTAGAGTCTCACTTAC